ACAAACATTGGCAGTGGCATTGTAACTTTATTATTTTTCCAAGGTCTCTGTGAGATTTCCAATCATTTAGCTTCGTCGAGCAGTGCTTATGAAAAGTAAGGCGCCACTTTTTGTGTGTACTGTTTGACTTTGCTATAAGGTTCGAAGTGTTAGCAGGTATCTTGGGATATCTAATAACGTTGCAGTGTTATTTTCATGCTGTTTCTATAAGAGCAGCTTGCTTTGGCTTTATGCCTTAGCTCTAAAAGTTTTCAAACCAGTTTTTCAAAGAAAAAAATGTAATCCTGTGGCTGTTTCTATAAGAGCAGCTTGCTTTGGCTATATGCCTTGGCTCTAAAAGTATTAGTCTGAATTGTACTCCTGGTGCTGTCTCTATAAGGGCAGCTTGCTTTGGGAATATCCCTTGAATGTTTCAAAAAATGTTGACTGAATTTCTTGAAAAAAAAATATTTACACTCGATGCTGCCCTTGGTTTCGACACTTTAAATTGTTGCTTTGGCTATATGCCTCAGACTCAGCCTCAAAAATATAAAGTCCATTTCTTGTGGTATTTTTTTCTCAGTAAACCTTGTTTCTACAAGGGCAGCATGCTCTGGCTATATGCCTCAGCTCTAAAATGTGCAATGAAGTTTTCAAGGACAATTGTGTATACATTCATGCTGTTTCTACAAGGGCTCATGAAATATCAAGTTAACTTGATCCTTGAAATATATATGCACAGTTTGACATCTTAAAACGAAACTATTAGGAACACTGCCTATGATTTGTCAGCAGAATAATTTTAGTTTTTGGACGAACGTAACTTGAATCTAAGCGCTCTGAACTCAGGCATCAGTTTTATGTATTACTATATTAGTTCGTCGATCTCATAAGCTTTATTCAGCTCGCTACAAGAGTTAGTGGGTTAAGTCTATACTAGAACAAAAAAATATATACACGATAACTTAGAAACACTCACATTAATGCATGTTTTACTGATCAGTCTTAAACATTACTCAAACACAATAGCACACTGTAAAAAGCCACACATGCACAATTCATAACAATTAATATAAATTTAAATGTCATGATCTTAAAACGCACCTACTTTGTAACCGGTTTTAGATATAATATAGTTTAATGTCTTCGTATATTAATGATGTACTATATGTAAAGAAAACACACACGCTTTGTAATACATGCTTAGTGAAGTATTAATAAAAATAGGACCAAAATTGTCCGTCTACTCTCTCTTGATTTCAATATCTTTAACACACACACACACACTTTGTTGTAATACATGACTTTGTTTTAATAAAATCTCAAACTTGTGTACTTTGTGTTTGATTCCGGCTTTCGGTGAGGGTTTTTCTCCAGGCACTCTGGTTTCCCTCGTAAAAAAACAGTGTCCGTGTGTTCGGAACCGTGTTTACGGTTGGTTTTCCATACGAAAATGGAACTTTTCACGAGTAAAATTGCATGAAAGCTAAACATTTCTGTTGACAATTTATATCCGCATAATTGGTATGTCTCGTTATACTCGATAAAAAGTTTAGAATATTTTCGCAACCCAGTAGACTTTAATGTCTGACATAAAACGCCCTCAGAATAGAAAACATAATGGTCTAACGGAAGCTGACTTGTACACACGGTTACTGGGTTCAATTCCCGGAACACTGTTCTTTGTCGCGATGAATTTCATGTTCTTCAATTAAAGCATGTAAAGCTTCGTCTTTAGACTATAATTTCACTTGACGAGTTGTTGATGAGCCCTTTACTGATTTTGAAAGACGTGATACAGCCAAATTGAAATGCAATACTTCCTCATCCTGGCGCTTATAAAAGAACGACCACATTCGCCAGATACGTGACTTTAAACGTGGGATATGTGTTCTTCAAGACTTCAAGATGTTCTCTTAATCACCACCTCATCCGTATCATTTGGCTAATTCTCAAGATTAAGACTCAAGATGGTTGAATATCAATGAGATCGAAGAGACAATCCGATTGCCTATAAAGTGATGCTGAAGATTCCTTAGCGACAAGATGATGCGAGCTTGTTAAATCTTTACCTTACCTCCTGAACCTACTGTGAAGGGGCTTCCTTCTAGAGCCAGCGCCTGATGCACTGAGATTACATTCTAACTTTATTAAATAAATATTCTTTTTAGTCCGTTTTGTCAGATCAAATTTTGTCTTTATTTATTTTGTCAACTATGACCGCAGGAAAACTGGACGATAATTGTGATTATTTAAACTGATATTTGTACTGGTATATATGGCATCTTATTTTCTTATGTTCACGATCTCTGTTGCTGCCATGCTAGTATTCCTGGACGAAATCTGTCATGCAGCCCAAGTTAATTCTGAAGAGTTTAGGATATCATGGTACAATAACACAAACCTTTCAACACAACATGCAGTGTTTTATTAGTGTAAGATAAGTTCGAGACGTGAGAAGTGTTTGTGGACATAACAGTGTCGTAAATCACAAATCTCAATTCACAACACAAAATCTCAAATTCTCTCTCCTCTCCAAAATGTACAACCTCGTGCTTTCTTGATTGACACTTCCCTTCCTCTATTGGCATGCGCGTTATAATAATGTAATAAATTAACTTATTAAGTCAATCTCCTTCAAAGAGCGTGGTTTAATTCACTACTACGTATGGTAACACCGGAATCCTTGAAGCTCGTAATAAGGTGGTTGTACTATTGTCTGTTGCCCCTGATTACAACGTCTCAAAACGGATGTCGTTTGATTTTGTAAATAGACTGTGAAAAAACCTGTTGGAAACCCTCAATCAGTCGCTAGTTGATTGTCGATGGATGTTAAGTACATTGTCTTGAATTGAAAAGCTTTGATAATGTTCCGGAGTCACAAATTATGGAATATGTCAATTACGGAGTCTGACGTAATAATATTGGAAAACACGGAGTCACAAATTATGGAAAACACGGAGTCTGTTAAAAATATATGGAAAACACGGAGTATAAATGTTTGGAAGTCTGCGCATGCCAAGCTCAGTAGTCAATGAGTCAACGTGAATTATGCAAATTTGATGGCGTGTTTTAAACAACATGGCGTCAAATTCGCGTAACGTTTTTGCTATTCCTCAATTTAAATGGGAGGATATTGTAGACAAAGAAGAAATTGGATGTTGCAGTTTTGGGTGTGATTTAAGGTGATATAAGGACACGTAATGAAGTTAGCTACAACAATAATTCTATGACTTTGAGCAAGACTGCAAGAGGCATTATAGCTATAATTTTTTGTTATCGTGTATTCTTTCTTTTATACTATTACTGTGGTATAAAAAAATAGTATATAGACTTATGAGCGACCCTTCATTTATGAACATATGTATAAATTACGTTATTTATACTCCGTGTTTTCCATGTTTTTGGCAGACTACGTGTTTTCCATAATTTTTGACTCCGTGTTTTCCAATATTATTACGTCAGACTCCGTAATTTTGACTCCGGGACTCCGGCTCCGAAACTCCGGCTCCGGAACTCCGACTCCGTGTTATCCATGTTACTGTTATACCTCACCCCGTATACTAACAGACGAATGATGCGTCAAGACGAACCTACCATTCAAATTAAGCAGATAATTCGTGTTGACGGATGATCCGTCTGCATGTTTTGCCCGTGTTTTCACGCAGACAAACTAGAAGACGAACTTTCTTGCCCAAGTTCGTCTAGACGGATGATCCGTCTCTAGTATAGATTTGGCCAATGTTTGGACGTACGACCCAAACGAACCCGGAACTGTGCAGACAATGCAGTGCAAATTAACGCGTAATTCCAGATCGTGTTTACATACGCCCTGGCACTAGCCAATAAAAATATCCGCTTTTATATAGCCTGCCAATCACGTGGTAAGCGTGCGGTGCTATGGAAGGCGTGGTCAAATAAAAAACACCACACTCACCACAGTTCTTTCGTAGTAACGTTACAACATGTACATTTGTACTTACTTCGTTCAAAAATAATCTTCTTCTCTCAAATAACTGCCTGACTTAACCCTTCGCTAAACGTATAGGTCAACTTGGGCTGCATCTAAAAACAGATAAGCATCAAGGTATAGCCTTCTATCAAAAATTTCTTGCCTTATTACTGTGCATGCAAATACTATATATATATATATATATATATATATATATATATATTTATATATATATATATATATATTATATATATATATTATATATATATATATATATAATATATATATATATATATATATATATATATATATATATATATATATATATATATATATATATATATATATATATATATATATATATATATATATAATGACAATCTCCTTAGTCTTTCTACCATGTATTGAGCAAGAATTTATCGAAAAATTCCTGCTTATCATGTGTTACGTGTATAACACATATCTGTTTTTCGTAGTTTCAGGTCTCGAGTTTTACCAGAGTGTTTCTCTAAATCCCAACAAAGGTAAAAAGTGAGCGTTATGAGTTGAAAGGGGCCAGCAGTCTTTGTAATTCAAATTTAATTCTGCCAGGATCATTCGGATCGCACCAGCGGATTTATATATACAAAGGTTATGAAAAATTTGAATTACAAAGACTGCAATAAAAGACCTTTTTATGGTAATGCTTTAGAATGACATTGTTTAATTTACCCTACTCTACCCCCTTAAATTAATGTTTCAATACGATTTTAACGTGAACAATTATTTAGGATTATTTAGTTTTTAAAAAATGTTCTGCTCATTCCTTATCGACTGTATTCGCTGCAGTTTAGATCCCACTTAGAAGTATAGAGTTTGTAAATATCAATACAATAGATTCCGTTGTTTTCAATCTTCTATTTGCTCCTGTTGGCAAAATACCGAAATTTGTTTTCGATATACGCTTTCCCATATGGTTTACATCCCTCGGAAGTATCCCACTGCTTCCATTAACGACATCCCGTAAAGGAAAGTCTAATCTGTGTACTTTTGTTACTGAAATTTAAAAATTCATCTAATTCAAGAAAACTTTTATTAGAAAAATTTATTCTGTACAAAAAATTTAACATCGATACGAGCAACATGCATACGGTAAACATAAGACGTAATTACATTTCTACTTTGTTTGCATATGTTCAACATGTAATATTGCAAAAACATCCAATACTGCAATAGAATATTGTGTACGCGCGTGCTTTTGATTTCCGCATAACGGTTGTCAGTGATGAACTTCGACTATACCATGCACTTTTTGTAGTGCGAACATGTGCAGAATTATCAATACAACTATCTAGAATAAGGACGTTTTTGTTTGACTGAAAAAGTGCTTTATAACTCAATTGAATACGCTATAAAGAGCGATTTTATACAGCAGAAAGAAATTCTGTGCTCAGTGTAATGTTTTAAATTATAGTATTTTTCTTGATCGATTAGTTTTTCCATAGGAAGACTAGATAGAGGCCTAGTTAATACTTTGCATTTCGATCACGTCGAATGCAATTCAAACAATATATAATGAGTTGATCATGAGGCTAAGTGAGGTTTGTCATCTTATTATATATTGTTCACTTCATATTGTTCACTTCCATTGCATTTTCAATTGTTTTGTACTATACACGATTTTTTCTAACTCCTAAGTTCAATGTTGGGATGCATGCATGCATGCTTGTGCTGATACGATGCTGTTCACACCAAATATATTCATTAACTTGGGAATACAAATACATTCATGTAGCTGATTAAGCCATGAATTTGCTCCTTTCTGACTTCACACGAACTCGGTTTCAATATGTCGTCGTAAAGTAATTTCTCACGATCCTTTGCAAACTGTTGCATGGCATTTGAAGGGTAACGGAAAGTTTTATGTATAGACTATAGCACTAATTAGGCTCTTCTTTCTCAACAGAAGACTCCTCAGAGTTTTCTTTGCTTGCCGTATCTTGTTTCATAAACGAACCACTTTTACTGTTGTCCGACTTTGTGTTGCCATCGAAGTTAATGTATAGATGATCATCGTATGTTCGCATATTGATGTATTCCTGTTTCAAAAAGAACGGAATAATGAAGGTTTCATGCAGTTGCATGTAAGTGACAAGTTTCATGCAGTTGCATGCAGTGACAATCATGCATGTGATTGTCACTCTAATTGCGTCTTTTCTACACCGTATGTGTTCTGAAGCCAAGAGACATTAATAACAATGGATTATTAGATAAATATATATATATACATGCACCCTAATGGCCCTATATTAGGAATTCGCCATGCTCATGGTCATGGATTAGGAACCGCCACAGTGTAGAATGACTTTATAGCGCTAACACTACTTTTCCCCGCATAGAGGTTTGGTCTAGTTTGGAGTTTGACTTAAGTTACGAGGCTCTAAATCTAAGCAATTTTCCTGAACTTACAAAATCATCATTGCACATTCGATCCAGATAGCGAGCTAGCATTTCAAAGTTTGGTCTTCGATGTGAAGCAACTTGCCAGCAATCCAACAGTAAATTATATCTGTGGTGAAGATAAAAAAGTCATGAAAATAAATGCACGAAATCAGTGCGTGTGAATGCCTGGGGTTATAGACCCTCCCCTGGGAAAGGAGCGGGGTTCGAGCTGGTTATAACTTATAACTATCGCTCATTGGAGAAAACATGAACCAATCAGAATCACGAGCGCATGCATGGGTCAACAACCAAAGTTAGCGGTAGTGGAAAGTCAAATCTGAACCACGCTAAAATGAGGTTCGGCAACGCCACTGTAAACAAGACTATCAATGTTTTAAACTTCAATGTTCTTCAGTCTTTTACCGATCATGTCACTGGTATATTTTTAGTATTCACTTTGGTCAAATTGGTACAGCTAAATTCAACGAATGCTTAAAATTAAAATGTTAACATGCTGGTAAACTTACAATTCATCACTGCAGTGCTTTGGTTTGTCCATTCTCATTCCGTTCTGCAAAAAGCTAACGACTTCTTGAGAATTCATGCCCGGATAAGGAGATGCGCCTGAAAGAAATATATTACATTAAATACGGCAACGCCGGTTATATGATTAGTTATTTGACTGTTTTAAATTGTAATCTTTATATTGAAACAAAATTTTTTACCTAGCGTGATAATCTCCCACAAGACAATTGCGAACGACCAGCTAGAGAAAAGCATGATATATTATAATAAATGTTTATAGAGAGAACGAGATAGACTACATACCTGAAAAGTATATAGAGACGTTTCGAACGAAGTAATGATCGAGTGAAAAGAATTATTATTACTAAAAGTAATTATTTAATAATTCATTGAAGACTTACACATCACTTTTTGTTGTCGAAATTCCGTCCAGCAATGATTCGATTGCCATCCATTTGATTGGAAATCGTCCACCCTAATGAACAAGGCCAGGTTATTATGTTAAAAACGACTATTATGTTATGGTTTTAGCATGCGGGAAGGTACGAGTGTGGACTAGTTGAGTTCATTTCAAGACTCTAGATCTTCATCTAAACTAGCTGTTTTCGTTTTGCAGTATGCCTTCACTTATGCACTTACCGCTGTCTTTCGTGTGTAATGATCTTCGATGTAGATATCTCTTGCAAATCCAAAATCAGAAATTTTACAAACTTTGTTTTCATCAACTAATATATTTCTGGCAGCCAAATCTCTGTGAATAACCTATAAATTGAACAGGATATACAACAAATCTAATATTTCACAATCCTCGATTTCCTCGAGGATATAAAGTGCTGCCATCGTCACAACCTCTGCATAAAAAATTATACCCTTACGAGGACTATGCTTGCAACGAACCTACCTTCAGACAGGCGAGATGAGCCATTCCTCTTGAAATTTGTGTACCGAACATAAGCAATTCTTTCGAGGTTAGTCGTGAGGAAGGACGTTTATAGCAATCCAGATAATACTGATCTCTAATACCACGACTCGTTCGCAGAAAACTTTGAAGATCAGCGTAGGCACAGAATTCGACGATCACCATAAGAGGTTCTGCAATGAAATGGGAATAAATCAAAAATTAAAATGCATTGAATAGATCCTTTTTGAATCTAAATGTATCCGAGCCATTTGGAGTGATAGGCAATCCCAGTTATCTTGATGGCGCCACGCGACATCATAGACTCTGGAGATCGAGTCCAAAAATGAAAGTGAGTTGTACTAGTTGTTCACTGTCTGACATTACCGACAAAATCATTCAAGATTGACTCTCACTTAAACCTCTAATTAAAATGCTCAATGTAACCATGGCCACCATCAGGGTACTGTACTGTTGTACAACTACTTTTGGTATTACTTGAAACAGTTATTTTCTTCACTGTAGAATTCTGTAACACCTTCCTAAATCTCTTTCGTCGGTGTGCGGATTTTAGTGAGATAGCAAGAAGTTGACACAGGTGTTCCTGAATTCGACTTTGTTACGAAGCTAATAACTATGACTGTGTACGTTTTCATCAGAGCGATACCAAAAGCACTACATTCTGAAATACTCATATAAACCTGCAGTCCACAATGTACAATCTACTGTTATGCGAAAGATAGCGGAATGGGATGTACCAAGATCTTTTAGTGCGTTGTATTCAGTAGAACGTTACATAATGCTTACCAGATTTTGTGCAACATCCGAGCAAATTAATAACATTTTTGTGCGGTTCAATCAACTTCAGTAACTCCAGTTCCGCAATGAGATCTTTCTTCGCAGAAGCACTTTCATTTTCTATCATTACATACATAGGAGGAATATTAGAAAATGGGAAAACTGTTCAAGCTATGTTCACTTTTTAACTTGAGACGCGTTGACCATTTTCTCCATAGTATTGAAATAAGAACATCTTTATATAGGGGTAATATTGTATCTACAGTTTTAACCCCGTACCCTGAGATAGTCTGATAGATGCGTGGACTGTTAAATGGAATAGGCACTTTCCGAATTTGCTTGTGTCAGTTGTGTGCACAAAGAACAATACCTTGGAAACGAGGCGGGCAATGTAATCTATTTTTCATTGCTGGAGAACAAATTCGGGAAATGTCTATTGATCTAAACTAATCGCCTTTACCTTTAACGAACTTAACCGCGACTGGTGTGGTACCAGAATTGTATCCGTTAATGCCCTCAGCCTCGGCTTTCATAACAATACCAAATGCCCCCGAGCCTAAGACATTCTGAAGAACAAGTCTTTCTCTCGGGAACTCCCATTTGTTTGACGTTGTAACCTGAAGAATGTCGCCACCTCCGGAACCTGTAGTGGTTGATAAACGATCCCCGCTATGTTGTAAGAAGTTAATCAATGCTGTTGTCTGGAATAATAATAATAACGAGAAATGAAATTTCATATCTTGCCATCTTGCTGATTAATTTTGTATGAATGGAGGAAATTGCAGTCATTGGTACTGCATGCATATAATTTTCTGGGGATCCGTTTACCAAATTTTGGCAGTAGTAGACGAGTTATCTCAGCTATCTCACTCAACTAAACTAATCAAAACTACTTCCGTTGTAAAATGCTTGAAAAGCAATGTGAGTGTGAGTGTACCAATGTTGTCCCAACAAATAATTAAAAAACATTGCTTAAAGAGTACTTATTGGTTCAAATTCAAGGCTAAATTACGAGCAATTTCCGAGAAATTTAAAAAACCGATATCTTGTGGATAAATCTGCTGTATTCAATTTTGGCATTCATACAACCGCAACTTTCATTTTCTACTACAACTTGAACCCATGTATGCATGCAGTTGTGCAGGTATGCTTACAGTGTCATCATTTGCGTTCTTTGCTGAACGTTCTGCTTCCGCCGCTTTCTTTGCGCTATTTCGCTGTATGTTTCTCATCAGTACCCACACGACAACAATAGCGATTATGATGATGAAAAATGCGCCCGCCACGCTGACAATCACAATCAGTACCAACATGTTCACGGGTTCTTTGATTGGTTCTTTCATTGAACCTTTGTTATTATTTGGTATCATGAGATCTATGCATGTAAAAACGAAAAATACAACGCTCGTTACTTATCTTGTAGTGGATGATTTCAGACTGCAGCCAGACCTGATCCCACCCAAACCTGTCCGTCACATTAATTACGTACCTGTGTCCAACTCAGTTTTCCTAGTTTTCATCTCACTCGGTGGACTCAAGCCAATTTCGTTGACTGCTATCGCTCGCAATGTGTACCATGTGTTGGACTTAAGTTTATAAATAGTATGCCGTACAGTACGCCGCCCACCAGGAATTATTTCACGTTGCCATTTAGTACCATTATACGGTAAATATTCGATAATTATCGATGTAATAGGTCTCCCTCCGTCGTTTTCCGAAAACTTCCAGCTTAGAGTGATTGATGTGACACTGGGTGCAACCGTTTGAATTTTTGGTGCATCAGGAATAGCTGAAAGAGAGAAGATTAAATCTGAATAAATTTATGCCTGATAGTGACAACTAAAGACAAACGGGGGGGGGGAGCTCTCTGTACTAAAGGATGCCAGACAGTGACTTAATTTCACGAAAAGAGAACATATTGTGATACTTACAATAACCAACAAGATTTATTTCTTGCGCGCCACTTGATATTTCACACAGGTACTTTCGCAAATCACTGGCTTGAACTTGCTTTATTATCAAATAGCTTGTACTATTCTCAAAGTTATGTTCATCTTTCACTTGGAATCTACCAACTAGACCTTCCTTGCTTGTTAATTCGTGGTCGTATGCGCCTTCGTACCATTTCCAGGTAAAGCGCGGTCTAGGAATTCCAACCGCGACACACTTTACTAATCCGTCTTTTCCGACCGTAGCGTACGATTTTTTCCTTGGTGGAGTTATAATTTTGGCTCTCACTGTAAAAATTCAATATTATGGTTGGTTTGTTTGTTGATTACCGTGGGTCAAAATAATTTAACACACTCTCCAGTCTCCATCGCTTTTAAAGTTCAAAGCAACCCGAAAAAATGCTAGGACATATTCCTAGATATGAGTGGATAAAATTAACGCCGCGCAAACCTCTCATCAAATTGAAAACTACAATAACATGTGCATGAAAAACTTGAAATAGCCTATACCTGTCATATTAACTGAAAAAATCCTTGTATCATTTCCAATGGAATTCGAAGAAATACATTGATATTCCCCTCTATCCAGCTGACTAACTTCACGAATGGACAGCAGGCCTATGTTGTGTGTTATAGTTCTTTTCGGCAGCGGTCGACCGTCCATTCTACGCCATGTAATAACAGGTTCAGGATACCCCGAAGACATGCAATCCAGGGTAAGTTTATCACCAGCAGCGAGATTAATTTTCGTTTTCATATTCGCCTCGATTCTTGGTTTACCTATATATGAATTGATACAAATAGAAATCGTCTAATAAGACTGACTTGCGTTCAAGTGCACAAATTAAAGTCGCGCACTGAAGAAAAAAGAAGTCTGCATGGGTCTAGGCGCATATTTTGTCATGCGCACTTGGTCGGCAACCCAGCGTGAGAAGCGTTATACGCTATTTAAGAGAAAACAACATGGGTCTTGTTTGTACTCACATTTTACATGGACGAGTTGATACGTCGCTTCTACATAGTTTTTGTTTGGATTCATAGAAATTAGCGTTCCTACGGCGCAGACATACTTCCCAGTCGCGTATCTGTTTACATCAATAAGTTTTATGTCACGTGTTTTGCTAATATGTTGCGGCTTTTTAGTAAAACCAAAAGGACGTATGTATGTCAAATCCCCTTCCACGCTGCGCTGTATTATATCGCCCTGAGGTAGTTTCTTCGTTCCGAGGTGTCTATCCACGACAATCCACCACCATTGATGGCTTATATACGTTGGGTGATTGGACTTCACTTGAGCACCACAATGTAATACGAGATCGTCGCCTTCCATCACTGTGTGATTTTTGCCCCAAAATATCTTCCCGTCATCTCCTATACAAAAAACAATGCAAAACCCACTTTAGTTTGGTTAAATTATTGGGTCTCTGATGATGTGAAGTCCTATAAAATGTAAGTTAGTAACTAGCGGTAGTTACAGTGCTCTATATACAGGAGAGCAAATAAAAATGGTTGGGTGATGTGAATAATCATGTGATCTGTAATGCTGGTAGGCGGGGAATTAAATAATAGCCCCAGACCAGCCCAACCTTCCTAACTAGAACCCTACATATAACCATGATTATTTGTATACACCAAAATCATTCCAGAGAATTGCGATTGTGTATAATAGACGCACCGTCTAGCTATTTCAAAAGTATGACGCAAGGTATCTACTGAAAATCTTTTAATACGTTAAAATAACATACCACGATCTTCTAGAACGTAAAGAGCGTTGACGAGAGCGCGATTGATGTATAACACAATAGTAAGAAATACCAAACGATTCATGATGCAATTCCTGCAAAATAAGATGTAGAATAATGCATTGTTGGTTGTGATTGGGCATTACGATAAATGGGTGCGTAAAAATAAAAATGCTCGAAAGAAGACTCTGTATAGTGTTATAATTGATAGCGGATTAAATCGATTTTTGAACAGCTTTTGAACAGTGACATTGCATGCCGAATCTTGAGGTGGGTTTCAGGACTCTCGACATCACAGAGAGCCCCGCAGGGACCCCAGCACTGCAGTTTACGACGGGCAAATTCTCTTATTTGACAACTTTAAGGTTACAAGTTTGAACACAACGAAGTGAAATTCGATGCTCGCATGACCATATTAACTAGAGACCCTCCTACAGGTGTATGAATGGGGAAATAGTGAGAAACTTGTAGCGTTTCCGTTTAGAATATTTAGCGAACAAAATTTGCTCGTGTATAGGGGGATTTATTCAGCTTTTATGAGCAGGCTATCTAGTGGCTATCTCCTCCTTTTTTTAAAAAAAAATGAGTTTATGTAATAGTATACTCTGACAAAATTATTGGCTTATGAAAGTAAAAAGATTATCTCCCTCTAAAAGGTTCAAAAAGAGGGATTTTTATTGTGTTAATACGGGGAGATTTTAAAACTAATGTGCAAAAATCTCTCATCGTTAACCTTTGGGGGATGATCCTTCCACTTTCATAAGCACGAATTTCCTGAGAGTACATAGTTCCATTGTGATCTAGCCAACCAACCAATCATTTTAATAAATTTTATACTAAAATCAAACTTCTTTAGAGTTTTCACCCGGCTCGGCTCACAAAGCAAAGATCGTACTCAGTTTGCTAAAAGAAGCTTAAGAGTTAGACTGCCGATAAACGTAAACTGTAAAATCGAGTGTAACCATAAAAACTGACCTATTCTGGTGTGAACGATAAAAAACAACCCATGACACGTGTGGAAAACGTATAATAAGATGTCTCTGTGTGTGTGCCATTCTTATACTTGAGTGCCTTGCAGCTCAGATCTTTACCCGATCAGTGTCATCACTTTAATGTTTAATGATTATAAGGAAAAACAAGGCAACGACAAAGAACAGCGAAGGCAGCGAAAATTTAGACTAAGTTATTTCAGTTTTGTAGAACGAGTTTTTGGGGATAATGTTTTATGCAGAGCAATTCACACGTCTATCCATCAGCAAATTCGGGGAAATTAAGTTTTTGCTTAATTAATACGTCCTTGTTGATTAACAAGTTGCAGTTTCCGTCAAATCGAAGTAGGCATAGAGTTTAGGCATACAATATTGAAATCTGATTGTAATACATTGTTATATGTAAGGTATATCGTCTTGCAGTTAGAAATTGATGGATTAATGAAAGTAAATGTTTCTTTCGTTACACCAGGCAATGGGTGAACACCGTGAGTGAAATTTACCACTGATGATGGTATATACTTCGCTGTTCCCTCTTGTCAAACATCAATCTCTTTCCCTCTATTTGACGTACACTTGCATTTAGCGTGCACTGGTATGCTTGAAAGTGTTATTTTATCATGGGGTGAGAAAGGAAGGGGAGGGTGTGGGAGTTACGGAGCAAGGATGAAGGAAATTCGTTGGTTTGGGCTACTTCATGACTCGTGATACGTGATGTAGTGGTTGGTTGTGAAAACAATTCCTTATAATAGCAGAAATCAGCATGATCCATTGGTTCAGCCAAGAAAGATAATAGAAACACGATACAACAGACGCGAACATTGCATGCGTGCAATGAGTCCCAATGACGTATGGGGATCAGACCTCGTGTACAAGCTTGTTGTTCATATTTGGGAAATGTTTGGAAATTTGGAAATGTGGGTGTATTTACCCCATTATAAAAAACGTGAGGGGAAGCAACCTATAGTATTGACAGGAAGGTAATCCTTGACCGCCGTGAAAATAGAACCCTCGACCTGTTAGTTGTTTTTTGTTTTTACCATAGAGTGTTTTAACAGACGGTGTTAAAATAGGCAATCAGACTTTTCCATGTCGTGATGCGCATAACTTTTCATCTTCTTGTATGATTGCAATAAAAATAGCCAAATATGATAACACTTCCCCTCCTGAAAATATATTTCCCATCACCTGAAGTTGAGAGCAATGTAAGTAATTTCCCCAAACATATGTGTCTTCAAATCATTTAATACCCTATATCTATCAGCATACAGAACTATTAATCCGTGCACAGGCTGAAAAATATATAATATCACCTGCATCAGTACACATGCATGTACATCAATATATAGAGGTATTTTTATGAACACTCTATATCATTACACTCTAGGCTGAAACAGTTGTACCTCTATAGTTTAAACAAAACTTTATCAAATAGACGATTCAAGTAAATTTATTGCCTACTGATAAAAGATTACGATTTTTTTTTCAGTCAGAGGTCCGATCAGAGGGTATGAAGTTGTCCTAATGTTAGTAATGTAGACATCTCGAAACATATGCTTTTGTGCGAGAAGACTGGGAATCGAAGCATATACTTTATGAACTGATAAATGTTTTTCGTGACCAATTCCTCAGAATTGCCGTGTCACTCTTTAAACCAGATTATATAGTCAAAATCTAAGACATTTAATTATATAGCATAATCTCATAATTAACTGCCATGCATAATTTGTTGAACAAAAATTTTCTTGCGAAGTATGACATTTTTTGAAGTTATAATTAAGTACCCTACATATACATCAGAGTACTAGAAGAATAATTTGAGTAGTCACGCTTCCTTAACGCAGACAAAAATGTTCAAATAACCGCTAATTACTCACAAACAAAACACGCCCTAAAGGCTTCACTCCATCTAATACCCCGAAAATTCTTTAATCCTGTCTTTGATCTGGGTTGCCAGCCCCGACAAATGTAACATAAAACTGATACCTCGACTAAAGAGAATATCCATGTGTGTTATTTTAGGACATAGATTATGCAAAATATCCTGTATACGCCACAAAGATATTAGGCGAATACCTGCAACTATTTGATATATACGATTATTGATAAAAACATGCATATGTTCAAACGTCAACATTCGACAATGCAAAAACTTCAAAATGGTTATTGCAAATATAATGTTTGTGTGGTGTAGAGTGACCTAAAGTCAAATATTCCTATTTCATCTACAAGCGATTAAAGAAAAACCATTAAGAACAAGCTTATAGTTTACTTTCGGAGTCTAATCGGGTTAGACATTCAGTTGGTCGGTTTCAGTCGCGTCCAAACCACACAGGAAATTCCGTAAGGTTTTTAGCAGAGTGACATTGTATAAGCAGCGATGTGAAATTATTTTCCCACACAGTGCAAGAGATGAAGAGTATATACCCGAGCATGATTTCCAAATGTTCACATTATCATGTTTCAAATATTTTGTATCCATATATTATATAAACAATGAAATATTTAATAACAATTTGTCAACAGAAGGTGTCTTGTTCAGGTTTTACTAAAATATATGCGTAGACATGTTGTTGCCTTTTCTTTTATCAGAATTCTAAAAAACGTGCAGCGGGTTTAATCCTCCGTGTGATACTTTAATGTCCCACTTGTAAAGTGAAGTGAAAATATTTTATCTTCAAATTTATGGTTCAATAGTCCTCATTGTGATAAGTTATATTGAATATCATATTTCCGTCCGTAACTGAGATAAGTAATAAAATTTTACTGATATATTGTAAACGTTATTCATACGATTGTGCACAGCATTTTAATAGTCATAAAACTAGAAATGGCAAGACATCAGAGACATATTCCACGCATGCTCCTTCGCATAAAAGTTTATTTTTTTAGAACCTTGTAGATGAAACAAAGCACCAAAGTGAAATATTTTGTGAGTATCTATGAGTATGATAGTCCTAACGTAAAAAAGATGACTAAAGATTCTTCTTGCCTAATCGAAAATTTATGCGAAGAATTAAATATGTAAACAATATGTAAAGACTAAAAACAAGTTCGTGCGTTTAGGGCTGGTAACGCTGATAAATGAAAAAATGCTGTTTAAAATATACACAGTCCAGTTATAGCCTAGTGTGAAATCATTACGTTAACGCACATGAGTAGACTATCTATAGCCTATTGATAACCTATTCACAGAGCGATACAATATTAATATAGATGCCAGCATATATTCAACTGTTAAAATATGCGCAGTTTGAGACGCGAAGCAAACACAATAGGATTATAAGACGCGTGTAGTTTAACATAGAGTGCGCGTATTGTGAATGCTGTTAATAATATATCTCCTTCTTTGCGCTTGTCGAGGAAGCTGCGCTCGTGTGAACTTAAGACAAAATCGCGTTTAGAAAATTACGTTGAAGTATTGTTACTAGGCATCCAAGGGTTAGTTGTTTTTCGTTTTAACCTCGGATCAACCAACGTACACACTTCCGCGCTGGATATTTAAAGTGCGCAAAACGATATACCTCTACAAACGTTGTAGGGAAATCAATTTCACAGTACAGTTTGTAGCGATATTTCTAACGTGCCTTATTGTTAGGGTTGTTCTTGGCCATTCAATTCACACACAAAACTATTGTGTTTTGACTGGTCACCATACAGGCATACACATTAAAGCGGATTGGCGAACAACTTATGTGGATCGATAAAGTCACGCATTTTCAAATAGACTAAGAACTAACCTCTTGTGTTGTACCAGGTGCTATTTACGATCCACTAAGATGATAGTCGAAGATAAATACATGAATTCCTTCACTACACACGGAATTGAAACAACACGGGTTCATCAAGGTTACGGTCAACCATGCCCGGAGATTCAGAACTTAATTTAAACTCGATCAGTTAAGTTTTTTGACGTATCCAATAGCAATTTTTACGGATTAAATTACACGCGCACAGCGAGCCTCGGCCAATGAAACTGTGTCTTTGAACGTAAAAAATGCCAACCTCGCTGGCGGAGTGACGGGGCACAGATGACGGCAGGATAAATTTAATCATTTGCGAACTCGTGAGCTTGATTTGTGAAGCTTGCGTTTATTGGAATTTTA